AAAAAAAAAAAAAAAAAAAAGAAAAGAAAAACTGACATTTCAGTATGCAAATAGCTCATGCCTGTAATAAAGGTTCAAACTTAGCCCAGGGAAAGAAAAGTCTGAGAGACTTTTCTCTCAATTTACACCAAAAATCTGAAAGTGAAGCTGTGGCTCAACTCAGATAGTGGCTCAAAGGCAGTGCCTTGGCCCTGAATTTAAAAAATAAAAACAAAAGGACAGCTCAGGAACAGTGTGTAGGCTCTTGGATCAAGCCCAAGCACCACCACATTTAAGGACTGCAAGAGACTCTCCGTCTCCAAGTTAAGGACACAAACAAAAACTGCTGAATTCTGGAAGTGGAGCTGTGGCTCAAGTCATAGGGCAATAGCCTTGAGCCGAAGCAGCTCAAGGGCTCAGAGACCAGCCCTAAGGCTGGTTACCAAGACAAACCCCTCAAAACCGACCAACGCAAAGGGGGCTAACGGCATAGCTCAAGTGACAGTATCTGCTTAGCAAGTGTGAGACCGAGTTCAGTGCCCAGCACCATCAAATACTAAGTCCATATAGCCTGAGGAACCACAAGATCAAGTGTGCTTCTGAAACACGCTAAGCCTCTTGATGTGTTAACTCCGTTCCTTGACTCTACCCAGGGAGCAAACCCCAAACACCAGGTTCAACCTTTCCCTGCTCCACCCCACTGCCTGGCCACCCCCACAGCCAGTCAACAATGACTTGTCTCCAGATATGGAAAAGCTGTCATCCCGAGTGAAGAAGAGAGTTAGCTGCCATCCAGTGTCATTCAGGCTAACCTAAGGGCTCATCAGGGAGTGAAGCATTTTGAAGGTGTGTGAAATCTGTGCTTCAGGGAATGGGTCTTCCCTTTGAAGTACGAAGTGACAATCAGAACCGAACCCACTGCTCTCCCTAAACTACAAGCCCTGTGCCACCCCAAAGCCACATCCCCAACATAGTACACACAAAAGCACTTTATCAGAACAACATTTACTGAGGGAAATCGATATTCCCAACAAGGAGGGAGTCAGTTATTTAGGAGGAAGGAAGCGCCCTCTCTGAAAATTCTGGAAAAGCCTTTTCTGTTTGAATAAGAGGGACAAATCTCCCAACACGGTACCTTCTGCAAAGACAGGGGCAGCTGGAGGTAGTTGACCCAGTTGACGTTTATGGGTAGTCGGTGTTGGTTTGGGTCCTGGCTCCTTGTGGGGCACGGATTGGGGGTGCTTTTGGCGGAAGGCCTTGTCTTGCGATGGCATGTTTTTCTGGGGCTGTCTGCTCCTGTCTTTGATGCATCTGTTTCTTGTGGGATTGCTCTGAGCTGCAGTGGTAGCTTTTTGACTGGAAGGGTTATTGGTTACTGTAGAGTAGGTAGCCTTGTCATTTGAGGAGCGTCTCTCGGGCTTCTCCGTTGGGATCTTTAGTTCTACCTCTTGTTGGGTCTTCCCAGCCTTCACACAGGAAGAAGGGGGCCCTCTGGAGCAGGTGACATCCACTGAATGCCTACTGCACCCCTGTTTCTCCAACAGGACTTGGTCAACAGCTTTTGTGACTTCCTGGGCTTTTGTGTTTCTAGAAAAGGTAGCTTTACCTAGACCTCTTGCCTGCAGAGACAACAAAGAGCTACCCTTCCCTAGAGAAACTTCTTGGCCTTTGAGTTTTGTACCAGGGCTAAGCCATTGGAAAAATTGTTTAATCTGGTTTCTGAAACTACTTTCAGAAGGAGGCTGTCTCTTCTGTGACAGGGCTGGGGAAGACTTGCTCCCAAGTGTCTTCTTTGCCCTGTCTGGAGGGAGGCGGCTCTTCCTTCTCAGTTGGGATTTCTCCAAGCTGGCATCCCCACCCCCAAGCTCACCTGGTTTGGATGCTCTACAGTTTACTCTCTCTGCACTTGAGGGAGAATTCTTGGCCTGGCATTTGGGGATAATGTGGCTAGGGACCCATGGCTCTGGCTGCTGCTGCTGCATGCTGCTCCCTCTGCTGCATGACTGAACATGAAATACCTGGGAGGCTGCTGTGTCCCCACTGGGAACACCCTGGTGATGAGTCAGCAATGTCTGGATTGTCTCCTTATCTGAAGTTGGGGGTGGGTCAGCGGGAGCTTCCTGATCCTGCCTCTGCTTCCTGTCCTCCAATTTCAACTTCAGCTCATCAATTAGATTGTTTTTAAGTTCCACTGATACAGAATCAGGAACTGAGATTCTCGTTAGGGACATTTTAGTAGTCAGGGTAGTTTCTACTTTTTGAGAATTCACTTTAGTCACTGGGGTCATCAGGTTATTAGGTTGTGATTGGAAATTAGGATGTTTTCCTGCTTTGATTAGCTCCTTGGACTTGTCAGTCATAAGAAAATGCTCTAAATTCTTCATTTTTCTCTGAAACTTTTTGGTATTATTGCTGGAACCCTCGCTCTTATCTAGTATCTCAGGTTCAGTCCCAGCTTGTCTGTGCACAGCTTTATCTCCGCTGTTATTTGTATGGGACAAAGCTTTGAGTTTGCCATCTTCAACTGCAAACTGAAGACTGGTATAGAAGGGTGAATTCTTTACAATCTCCTGTCCTCTTTTGCCCTCAGGTAGAGTGGCAGAGAGGCAATTATCCACAACAGGGACATTTGCTGTTCTCATTGTGTCCTCATGAAAAGTGTTAGAGGGTCCTATTAGAGGCCCAGGAGCCTCAATTTTAGAATCCGCCCCAGAAATGAGAACGTCTGAGGACGGAATTTGTAAGTAAGAGTTTGTTTGGGGCTCTTTTACATTGAAGATTTCTATGGATTCTTGAACCTTCTGTGGAAGGCCATTCACCATTCTCCAATGAAAAATCTTAATATGATCCTCCAAAATCTTTTGCCTTTTGCCATAAGGGAAAGAACTAAAGATGCTGTCTTTTCTCTCCAATGGCACCAAATCTTTCACTTGGCTGAGGAGATGCTCACAAACATTCACTTTGACAGAATGCCTTGAACTCTGCACAATTTCTGGGATCTGACCCTTACTGATTTCATCAAATTTCTTGCTCAGATGTGCTTCCAGGGCCTCCTTCCGGTGTTGACTTGCCTCTAAGGTGGTTGAGTGATGTCCTGAATGACTATCTACAGGTCTTTCTTGGTCTGTGTGAGTGTCAGGTGCTGGAACCACCTTTGCAGGGCTCAGTGGTCGAGCGTTTTTTCCGGTCTGTGAACCGTGTCCTTGTTCTCTCACATCCTGTTCTAGAGGAGGCATCTCTGAGCTCCTCTCACAGAGCTGCCTTTCTAACTGTTTCGGTTCAACCTTGCTTAAATTTTTGCTGCTGGGATGAGTAAAAACAGGAATGCATGCGAGCCCACGGCTACTCTTTTCCTCAGTGTCCTGGGAAATCTCTGTCAGAGGAATCATCGATGACAGAGATGAAACGATCCTGTCGGGCAGGCCCCAGCGGTGCTGGATGAGCCTCTTTCGAAGGTGATGCTCTAGTTTTTTCCGGAGCTCATCGTCAAGAGGAAAGTCTCCAGGAAGTATGGAGACGGAAGAATCATGGGCCTTACAGGCCTGTTTAACAAATGAAAAGTGGGGAGCTGGAGGACAAAAGTCTTCCTGGGATTTTTGGATGACAGGGGGTAAGCCCCATATGTTTTTCTGAACTTTCTGTAGTATGTTATATTCTAGAGCACCGATTTGAGACGGTGTAAGAAGCTGTGTCCCGCTCTGAGGCTGAGGCGTGTGAAAACACACTCCGCAGTTGCAGAGCTGAGATCCAGAAGGTGCCACGACTGGAAGAGGGGATTCGAGCTGGGCCTGGAACTGGTCAGAGGGGAGCTGCTGGGAGGGAGACTGGAGAAGGGCTTCAGACAGGGCTTGAAGTTGAATCTGGGGCAAGGCCAGAGTGGTCTGGCCAGAAATGACAGTGGGCTTATGGGCACTGTAGGCATGAAGAGTTTGGTTGAAGCAGGTGGAGGGACAGTCACCTGAGGCAGGGACAGTAGAGCCCAGGGACTCGCAGTGGAGGGATGGGAGGCCCCAGAAAAGCTGGGTCGACCCTTTCTGTGAATGGTCCTCAAAGACCTTTGGACGTGGGGGCTGCTGGTGGTGCATGTGAAAATTCTCCTGTCTGCCTGTGGTGCCTGCAAATGGGGGGGACTGTGCTGAGTCTTGGTGATCAGCAACAGACGGCAGCAATTCCCCTGAAACACTCGGCTGGCGCTCGGGCTGCGACTGATTGCGGAAAGATTGTGTTTTATCTTCCTTGTCCTCTGACATCAAGAAATCGCCTCTCTTTTGGATTTGTCTCTCCAGCAGTGTCAGGACATCAGAGCAGATAAACGAGGGAGTTTCAGAATTTATAATATAGGTGGTGGTGTCTCCCTCCATAGAACTCACAAGACTATCGAGGTCAGTAAGCGCTTGGTCCCTATCCTGTTGTGCCAAGCTGGGCGGAGGCAGGTTTGCAGCGTGGGGCTGCAGCACGGGGAGTTTGGACACAGAGAGGCTTGAGCCGTCAATGGCTCTGTTTGAGTCGTAAGTGATTGCTGGGTAATAAGTGGGCAACCCATCAAGGCTGTCCACCAGACACAAGGAGGTGTCTTGTCCTGTTTCCTGAGTATTACATGGGCAGGGGGAAATTCCAGGTAGGAATGGGTCCTCCCGGAACTGGGAATCCATGGGAGAAGTAGACGATGATGACAGAGAGTCTCCCGGTGGGGGAGGTGGAGGTAAGTTCTTTAAGGAGGTGGCTTTGTAGAGAGAGACATTGGAGGAGGATGAGAGGCAAGGTTCGGGTGAAGTGGCTGGCGTTGAATGTTCTGGAGGGCTTGTCAAACATGCGAATGATGACTTTTTTATCAAAGCCGTGGAAGCCACACGGGACACAGGGAGAGGATCATTTTCCAGGGATGCCCTAGACAGCAGACGACTGACCTTAGCCGTGGTTCTGTTACATATGGGACAGAGGGGGTCTGGACACAGCAATTTCCGAAAGGGGGGGATGTCATCAGATTGGTTCGGTGGGCTGCAGGAGACAAAAAGTGCAAGGCTATTGCCAGGACTGACATGGGGAATGGAGGGCCTGCCAGTGAGGGGGGGAGGGGGACACCTGCAGCCATACACCCCTTTGTGCTCTTACACATCTATCTACGACCTCATAGTACTTACTGTCTCCTTTCATACACCCGTTGCTGAAAACTAGCCACCCATCTCTCCATGGGTGCTTATAATGTGAAATGGGGACCAGGAAAGAAGAATGGCTAATTACCTTTTAAAAATAGAAAGAAGTTTCCTCTCCTCTTCAATGTCTCTCTGGCAAGTTCTCTGGCCTGGAAAACCAGAACAGTGTAATGAAAGTGGAAACAGAAGGATGGTGGAGGAGTCTCTTTAGGAAACACTTAGGGTGGTTACCTAGGACATGGGTGTGAGGGAGAACAGCGCCTTCCTTACACAACTGAAGTTGTGGCTTGACTCTCACCTGGCCCCCTACTGGGCAGAAACCCATGCCCAGGTCTATCACTGCCTCATGCCCAGAGCTGGCAGAACAGACTCTGAGAAGGATCTTGGGGCTGACTGTCTACCTGTGAGCCTTTCCTCTGAGGACTCATTTTCTCAGAGAGACGATGTGTAGCAACTGACTTCCTCAGAGACCATGGGCTTTGACACCTCATGAAAGGAAAAGGATCCCCATTGATGAATTCCCATCACCCACAATAAGACATTACCTCTAAATGCTCCTCTCCTCTTCCGTGAAATTCTGCCTTGATTCTGAGAACAAAAAAGAATGAGGCTCAGTTTCATTTGTTTCTTTCTCTAACAAGTTGAGACATTATCTGGGAATTGATTCATTACATTGAACAGAAATTTGCTGTTATTTTATTGTGAAACATGGTCCACTATCTTCAGTTATTTGCCCGTCACCGCACACACGGGTCTTCACTCAGAGGGCCTCTGCTAGAGAAGGGCATCACACCTGCAGCCACCAGCTACAGCTGTGCTGCTCCCTCCCCTGAGGAGGACAGAGCTCACACTTGAGGCTCTGCTCCGAGGACCTCAGAGGGCAGCACTGCTCTTGTGTGCATCTGGGCAGGAAGGAAAGCTTGTGCAGGACGCCTGACTTGGGGACAGGACTCAGGATCACCTGTCAGAAACCACACCTTTTCATGGTGCTCACACCGTGTAAGTTAACCCACAGTTAGGAAGCAAGTCGCTGTCCCTGTCTGGTTCAGATGGACACCTGAGCCCTCCCATGCTGGGCCTCATGCCCTACAACAGCAGTACTTCATCTCTTCAAACTTCCCACGTCAAACATAACAAAATCTCTTGAGGGATCACCCACGCTTCCTTACCTTTTGAATGTATGCATGGATCCAAAGGGTTGCATAAACATGTAGGAACAGCCGGTAACCCAAATACAAAATCAGGACCCCCACAGCACCCGGAAAGGTGTACGAAGGATCAAAATCCAAAAAAGCTAAGCTAAATTCATCCATGGTTCAGTACTGCTATTCAGAAAAGAGAGGATCTTCTCCATAGTCTGAATCGCAAGGCTGCCTGAAGCAACTGGGTTCTGAGGGGGGCAGGGGCCTGGCTCTGTACCTCAGGCCTGCATCACAGAGCTGGGGAGTCATAGAGGGGTTCTGGGGTGGGGGAGGGGAGGTCTGGAGAGAGCTTGCCACAGCCCACCCACCGGCCAGCCCCGCCCTGAGCCCTGCCCAGCTGCTGTCCATGTCCACTCTTCCCTTCCCTGGTGCTGTGTATGTACCCCAGAGAACTTTCCTGCTCATCCAGCTGTGGCCAGGCTTCTGTCTGAGACCCTTAACCATAAAGCAATGTTAAACATTAAAATTTCACTTGATCCTGAGGCTGTTGTTTATAGCACGTATTTTTATGGACTTATTGAAACAAACATGCTCTATGTATACACATACATACACACACACACACACACACACACACACACGTATACATACACATACTTGACAACTCCAACATTTTCAGGCTCAAAAATCAATTATTGCCTACTTTGATTTCAATTTTTCATTTGATATTTTGGCTAGTTTCCTTGAATTATCTAACCTACAGACAGTCCTGGCCCTCAACTGCAAGTTCATAACAGCTTTGCCAAGAACCGTAACGGAGCGGGAAGGGGGATGCTCCCTGTCTGGTAACACGGTGTAGCAGCGCAGGTGGGTACAAGCACCAAAGCCGTGGGGCAGAGGGGAGGCCTGAGCAGACGCTGCCCGTGCGTGGTCCTTTCCTGAGTATCTCCTATCATAACAAAAACTTGAGAACATCTGCTATGTTACCACCCTGAAAATGTCCAATTATTTAGACTCTACTTGTTAGGTTTGGGGGGAGTTGTTTTGTTTCTGTTTGTTGTTGTTGTTGTTGTGTCAGCCCTGGGGCTTGAAATCATGGCCTTCCCTGAGCTTTTATGCTAAGGCCAGTGCTCTACCACTTAAGCCACAGACCCACTTCTCACTTTACTTGGTGGTCAATTGGAAATAGCGGTCTCTTGGACTTTCCTGCCTGGGCTGACTTTGAACCAAGATCCTCAGATTTCAGCCCCTGAGTAGGTGAGTTTACAGGTGTTTGCCACTCGCACTCAGTCCCACAAGTTAGTTTAAAATAATTCCAAATAATCACACCCACCCTTTTCCCAAGCCTTCTTTTCCAAGCATTTTATTGTCTTGTGAGCTGTTTCATGAGCAGTCTCCCGCTGACTTCTCCACCCCCATCTCATTTCTTTTCTGTGGAAGTACTGGTGCCTGAACTCTAGGCCTCTCCTCCCCCCACCCCCTTCTCTCTGTCTCTCGCTCAGCTTTTTCATCTCACTGCTAGTGTGGCACTACTTGAGTCTGGCTTTTTACTGGTTAACTGGAGATAAGATTCTCCAATATTTATCTGCCCTGGCTGGCTTTGAACCTCAATCCCTAGACTTATCCTTGTGAGCCACTAGCACCTCGCTCTTTTGTTTGTTTTGTTTTCTGAAACCAATGCCTAATACATAGTTCAGTCTAGCCTCAAACTCGGGTCCTTCTGCATGTGAGGCCTTCAGAGTTCTAGGACTTCAAGTGTGTGTTACCATACCCAGTGCTCCCATGTCTTTCTTGAGCTCTGAAGCCTTTCATTTGTTGCTGTGGTCTGGAACTTTTACTCAATCTCCCAGAATGGAGTAAGACAGGCTTCAAGACAGACAGACTTGGAAATGAAATTCACAACTTGAGAGGGGAGGGGAGTGGAGGGTGGGGGAGAATGAGAGAGGGAGTAACAATGTACAACAAGCAGTGCTCATTACCTTTAGTAACCCCTCTGTGCATCGCCCTGCAATCAAATTCAATGATGTTTTAAAAAGATAGACTCCTCGGGCTGGGAAGGTGGCTCAGTGATAAGAGTGCTCACCTTGCATGCATGAGGCCCTAGGTTCGATTCCTCAGCACCACATAAGCAGAAAAAACAGATCTGGAAGTGGCGCTGTGGCTCAAGTGGTAGAGTGCTAGCCTTGAGCTGAAGAGCTGAGGGACAGTGCGCAGGCCCAGAGTTCAGGCCCCAGGACTGGACCCTTCCCCGCCCTGTCAGTTATGCAGGAGCAAGGGCCCTGCCCCAGGGCACGAGTCCTCCACCTCAGCCTGAATTTCACAGATCCCTGAAGCCCAGCCCCTGCCCTGGGCTCACCAGAGGCTGTAGAGAGAAGTCTCCCAGGTGTCAGGGGAGATACCACCCTGCTCTCTGAGAAGAGCAGAGTCCGCACTGTGTTCTCTGTGGATGAGCAGTCTCTGAAAACAAGGGAGGACTGAATGTGGGCTGTTGCACGTTCTAAGCAAGTTCTCTCATGCCAAGTTATATCCCAGCCCTTCGCTGTTCTGTTTTAAGATGGTGGCACTGGCTTAGATATCCTTACAGATACTTTTTTTCTGTCAAGCATTAAAACACACATGCAGAGTGAGTTGTTGCTGTTGTTACAAATCAGCATCTTACAAAGATTTCTATCAGATTTCTTTTCAGAACCTGATAGAACCTTCAAAACCTAAAAGAACAAAAGGCTAAAGCATAGCATTTCTCTTCTGTGCTTCCTCCTCCTTTTTTTTCCTTTTTAGTATCACCAGCCAGGAATTCTGCAAGTACTGTGTAACAGAATCCTGAGGATCTGCCCTTCCTACGTTAACATCGGTCATGGTGTATAATACAAGATAATTGAAGTCTTATTATTTCCACAAACCTTGGCCAATCTTCAATAACCACCTAAACCTCTGTGTATAATCGGGCTCATTTTCTCAGTGCATAGAGTGACTTTTCTAGATCATATTGGAAGTCTCCCACATAATCAATGTACCTATTTTCAACAATGATAGTGAAGGATTCAAAAATAAAATAAATATAAGGTAGGTATATGTGTGATGTGTGTGTGTGTATATAAGCAATGCGTGTGTACATAGGTAATATGTGGTAATGTCATGTTTTTATGTATGGATATGCCACATTTTGTTTTTCTGTTGATCAGTTGATGAATATTTGAGTTGTGTCCACTTGATGACTATTACAAAGAATACTATGAGCACTATACATATTTTTGTGTAGATATTTGCTCTTATTTGTTATTTTTGCAATAATGATGTGACTATTATATTTTTCTCTGATGGTTTTGTTGTACAATCATACTTAAATCTTATGAAATAAGATCTTATGAAATACTTAAAACTTATGAAATAAGAGATTGGGGGTCTAAATGTATTCGAGTAATAACACCTTATGTTCTCAAGGTTCTACATTCTCTCTCCTCCCTTCCCCCCCTTTCTCTCCAGTACTGGGGCTTAAACTCAGGGTTCTTGCTGTCACTAGGATTTCTGACTCAAGAATGGCATTCTACTACTTGAGCCATACCTTTACCTCTTGCTTTTTGCTGGATAATTAAGAGTGTCACTAACTTTTCTGTCCAAGCTGGCTTCAAACTGTGATCCTCAGGTCTCAGCCTTCCAAGTAGCTAGGATTACAGATGTGATCTGCCAGTGCTCAGCTAGGTTCTATCCTTAGCAAAATAGAATGAACCTGACCAAATCAAAAACATGTCTAAATACAAGCTGGTTTCAGCTGGCAAGGAAGCCAAAGAAAGTTCTTAGGATCTTAGGGTGAATCAGCATACAGATTTATCATATGGGTTTTTTTCTTCCAGATGATAGAAGATCACATGACTTGTGGCTGAAAGCAAAACCTTTAATTCATGGTCTTCTATTTCTCCACTGTCCAGGAGTAGACCTACCACCTACCTCACCATCTGGAATGGGTCAGCTATGAAACCTCCCTCCCTGCCTAAAAGACTTGCGCATTAAAAGCTCGATCCTCAGCTGGCAGTGCGATACAGAGAGTTTTTAGGAACTTTACGCG